TATAATCGGTCGATCATGACGTAACATGTAACACCTGTGTAAATAGTGATATACTGGTACGGTAAATGTCTACAATCTAATTTATGACAGAAACATCCAAACATTACACAATCCTTGCAAAATAATAATATAAGAATTTAAAATGTAGTGTTCCTCTCGCAGGCGCGAAGAATTCTTCGATTGGTGTTGGTCTAGCTGAGATGATATGGAATTAAATTTCTGACTTTACTATAAATAGAATCCACTTAAAACGCTGGTGGCCGGTGTTTCTGATGTTGTATAACTTAAGTGTACTGTATTTCGGTCCTGTCAAAGCCCAGGTTGACGACGTATAGGGTGAAACAAATGAGGTACCAGTTGAAATTAACCGCCTTGGGGAACTGGTATTGTTTTTCTCAGCCGCGAGGAAAGAAAATCTAATAACTGTCCTAGGTATCCCAAATAGGGACTGTTGGGGTTGACCTAAGGAGTGCATAGAGATGATGCGATTAACCAAATAAATTTATTCTTAGGTTACTTCAGATGCACATGAATTTGATCATATTTTTGTACACTAACTGCATTAAATATGAATTTACATCACTAGCAAACCTAGGCCCACGGCAAAGGCATTCACGACGAGCATTCATCGAAACCTGGCGAGCCTTCAGAACCACCGCAATGCGCCGCAGGCCTGCTAATTTCCAACGTGATGCCGGAGTGCTTATACCTGATTTAAAGTTACCCAACTCTATTTTCGAATTCAGTTACTGTACTCTTTAATCTGTTTACAAATACTGTAGCCTACGCTGAAAATATAAGAATAAAATAGGAATATCGATACATAAAAGGATGGTGTTAATTTATATAATTGTAGGCCTATTATAATATATATTTGTTTTGCAATAGTGAAAACCAAATTTTAAACCAAACCCATTGAGCATGGTGTCAGAATACTAGCCTATTAAAGTGGAGGAGTTATCGTGTTTCAAAATGCCTGCCTTCTAATTCCCGGGGCCTGGGTTCAAATCCTGCGAGACGAATGAAACAAATATAACTGACTTCCTAAGAAGACTCGCAAAGAGATTAGTTAAGCCTAATAGAGCATCGTATAAGTTCCATTCCGATTTTGGAAGTTGCTGTTGGATGTGAAAAAAGAAAAGACAACTATTAAAAAGAAAGAGAAAGCCTCATGTCAGAACCATGTCAAAACTAACGTACTCACCTGATGTCCAGGATGAAGTGAGGCCTAATATAATATTCCAAGATCACACGCGTCCGAGATTGAGGTAGGAGATATTATCAGTCCAATGATTTATAAATCAGGCGTATTTCCCCAAAATGTTTCAGCAATGTCCCTCTGAATTTGACGAAGAAGGATAAATGCAGCCTTCAAGCCGATAAATACAAAGACAAATAAACGATAGATTTGTAAAAATGCTCCTATCCTCCACAGCTTAACGATAAATCAGAAGTCCCAAGTTGTGTTCTGGCGCCCAATATTAAAACGCATACAGGCTAAAATTGGTAGCGGCCTACTTCCTAAAGTAGTGACAGAAACAGAAGCCGGATTAATAAGCATGATATACAACAAATTGGCGAAAGATGAGACAGGGCCCAGCTAACTTGGAAGGTTCAATAACCAGACCAATCGTTATTCTCATTCTGCTAATTAACAACAGCTACACCCAGCCTTACGCACCGGTAGTTTCAATAACATTACGTCTTAAAATCTAATAACCCATGCTAAACGCCACCAATTGCTTATCAATAAAGTATTTACAATTTAGCAATAGGCCTATCAATAGAAATAACCAACTAATTATTTTTATGCAATGTTCTGGCTTCACACAATTTTAATGATAACTAACTGATCACCTCTCTCTAAAACAATTCTGAAATAAATACTGTAAATATACACTTACTTCTGAGTGAAGAAAAATGAAATAAAATGTGCGAAACCGAGTAAGTCCAGTATAGAGACCAGAATGAAGTCGGAGCTGGCTGTTAGCTGTCAAGTGTATCGATGACTAGTCTGCTTCGTTAAGGCGCGCGTGCTTGCTGCTCGCTTCTGATTGGCCACAAGATATTCAATGAGGAGAAACACATTACCTAGAGTATCAAAATGAAGTCAACTTAATTACGTCATCGCAACATTTCTCGGACGAAGAACGTAGGATAAAACTTAAGGTCCCAATGCTAATATTACCATGATATTATTATATAAAATAAAATAGTCCAAAAGAAATAAAATGTATTGAAAGAGAACTAAATCGTTTCAACTGGTGACATTCTAATAGTTTAAACTTTAAAAGCCAAACTAAGTCCTACTTTTGTCTGGAGTGTGCGCTCACAGCGTCATTAAACGTAACGTTAAAAGTATTATGGCATTAACAGTAAAGCACCAATCATTTGATTATTGATTATAAAAAATGTTTTAACTTTAGTTTGAATGAACTACTTTCATTTCTTCTAAGATCTTCACGTAGGCCTACGTTTCAAATTGTTGATAAGCTTTTAAGCAGTCAACCAAATATACCCAATGCCACTTCGAAATCTAAACAAAGATAATCTTAACATTCGGACTTTAACAGTTCTTTTGATCTGTGTTTCGATGGAGCATGCAAGAGGAAGGAGAGGCAATGATTTATCTGCAATCAATGCCTGGGGGTAAGCACACGTCGTCTGGTTGTCTGGATTATGATATTTCATTTAACTTTTTTTTTCCAACAAACATGGATGAATACTAGAATAATTTAAAAAAATAAATAGTTGGAATACGATGTACTGCAAAGTTTGAATTTTACAGGAAACAACAATTTAAATTGAAGGACAGTATACTGAATTTGACTGACAAAGACTTCTGAATAACAAGATAGAGGTCGTAAACGTAAGAAATGTATAACAACCGGATCAAAAACTTCTGAATAACAAGATAGAAGTCGTAAACGTAAGAAATGTATAACAATTGGATCAAAAACGTAGTCATCTAGTTACTTGTCATCTTGCAAAACTGTCCACAGAGGGAATGTGTAAAGAAAGACGTAAATGATTTTGATCTTATCTAAAGCTCTGTCCAGACTATCAAATATTCTTTGACAAAACACTGTTGTATGCCCATATATAGTTATGGTGTGCCTATATATGGTCATGATGTGATGTCATCATGACCATATTTAGGCAAGTCACATGTTTTTGACAGTCTACACAGGGCTTAATACGGTACGTTCTTTTATTATTCAGAATAAATGTTCATATGTTGTATTGCTGTGTAAAATTATCTAATACTGTACAATATGAACACAACACAGACGTGTCGCTCTTTATCTCTTCAATGGTCTTTTGGAATAAAAAAAAAAAGGGCGAAAATAAACGAAATGAAAATGAAATGTTTGCTATCGATCAATCTCCATCTATCATACAATTTTAATTCTACTGTATTCCGACTGTAAGTTTGTGTGCCATCTGAAAGAAATGTCATTTCTTCATTATTGCAGTATTCATTGAAAAATGTTATCATCACAACCACCATCATAATCGCATCATCATTATTATAATCATGACGTCGTGATCATCATCAAAAACAATATTAGGCCTACTGGCACAAAGTCTATTTATACTGTTATTATTAGACTTTCTGTAATTCCATCAGTACTGTAAACATCAAGTTAAGTAAATTACTACTGCATAAGGTTTTACTTTCACTTGACTATCGTCAACAGGGATAATAACTTACTTTCGGCAAAAAAAAAAAAAAAAAAAAAAAATCACATCTTGATGCCAACATGACACAGGCCTACGGTTAAATTGCATTGGTACTCCAGGCCATCATAATGTCGGCGAAACTCGTGAATCTGACCATCAAACAAAAATCTTGTGCCGGTACTTCGATTTGAACGATTGAGTACGGTACATCTTTTTAGGCACCCGATCGTAGAGGTACGGACGATTAAGTTCGGCCTAAAGGGCTGAACTTATACGGAAGCTTGAGATTAATAGTTTTCTTTATCCTGAAAAAATCTATTTTGGGATAGGTTTCAAGGCACACTTGGTTGGATGGGATTGAAACTCAATTATGGGGTTCACGAGACCACGGTGATTCAAAGAAACTGGAAGTTAATCTACTATAATCGAAAGTTATTTTTTTCTTCTTAGGCGTATTTGACTTATATAGTCACTAGTGCCTCGCGGCGATGATCATGCTACTCTGGGGCCAGTCACTTACGTTCCAATGGGTCGGGTTTGTTTGCAGGGTTAGAATATACTAAGAGGGTCGACTAAGATACGTATCATAAACTGTAACAAGAAATGTTTCGACTTTGCACGATAATAAACAATATCTAACCCTGCAGAGATGCGAGATTAACTGTATTTCCAGAGATAATAAACACACCGAGACCATGTGCTTATTGGCGGTTCGGTGTAATTTCTCCAACAGCACGTGAATTGGATATTACCAACACGTAATTCGTCAACACTCGGTAACTAAACATTTTGATAGCGTTGCAAATGTGCGGTGAAAAAAGCCCAACTGGAATTCGTCACATAGCACGCAGTCGTCATCTCTGAGGTGATTAATTTATTGTTTTTTCAGTCCAATGGCGAGAATCAATTCAAATCAAAAATTTGATTTCAGAAACAAAATTTCGCACCTACATCATCAATTGCACAGCATCGAATCTGGTTCACCAATTAGTGCATGGGTTAAGAAAAAACTACGATCGAGTGAAGTACAGATTTAAGAATCTACGGACGAGGACCTACTGGTACCGTAGTTGTCCTCATCCAAATGAGCCCAAGTAAACAATGCTCATGGAAACAAACTAAAGACGGTCCGCTATTGTCATCCAGGTCATTATCATCATTCATTTCAATCATCATCACCGTCGCCATCGTTATCGTCAACATCATTGTCATATCATCAATATCATCCTCATCATCATGAATATGGAAGTTTTCATAAAAAGATTGTTACTAATTCGATTGGAAACGTACAATTTACTGAACAGTACAGAATGAAGTAACATGTAATACAGTATAATTTATTGGTACTAAGTAAGAATGTATATAATGGTAGACTTATGGCCTTCTACCATTTGAAATAAATACAACTGGATATCTATATCTGGATGTACAGTACCTAAACCCTTACTTTGGGTTGAAATGTTTGTATTCAACTAGGACTATAGAAAGTTAAGAGAGAACACATAATTATGTTTAATATAAAAATCACATTGCAACGCAAGAGCACCCATGGAATTAAAGTTCATAAATTCGTAAAACTTAACTTATATAAAAACTTCAATAATATGCGGATCAAATTAACTATTATTTTAACACAAGCAGCTATACAAATGAGAAAGTTTTACATTAATTGTTTGAAATGTTTGCCGTATACCTACAGTAGAATGTCTACTTCCAAAAAAGGGGCAGTGTTCTGTATATTTAGCCGGTAATACATCTATTCGTTACAGCATTGGCGTAATGATTAGTGAGGGCGCACTTGAACATTAATTTAATAGGTGAATTCAAGTTATAGCCCGTAAAATACACAATTTTGAAAAAAAAAACAAAACAAAACCATCACAGAAACTTTGTTTCTGATTACAATAAATACATGCAAATTTAAAAGATACGGTAGCTAATTCCACCACTACGACATTCAGAAGGTGGGCAAGAAGGGGTATACACAAAATTATACTTTTAATACTGATATACGCAAGACAATAAAACATCAATTCCAGTATTCGTATGCCTAAAATGCGATCAAATAAGTCGAGTTACATACAAAAAGAAAAATCTGACGCCACCTTCATTCAAATATAAATCGCTGATAAACACTTAAAGTATCAAAACATACAAAAATCAGCACAAAGAAAAACAAGTGTTTGAGTAACAAAATCAAATAAAATTGTTACATCCGAATGAATGTAAAAGTTATATTTTTAGGTATTAAAATCTGAGCTGCACTATCTAAAGTTGTTGCTGAAAAGGAAAGCTATGAATAAGCAATGTACACCGCATTTTGCTTTATAATTGCAACAACTCACTCTCTTTGTATATTGAGGCTTGTTTTCTACATTTTTAAAACAATCTGGCATTTATAGGCCCACATCTACTTGAAATTCTATAGGGCGTTACCGCAAGCATTTGGTAACTTTAATACGATTTTTAACTATCAAACGCAGGGCATAGGCAAGCAAATTAATATACTGATTAATTCTGATTAAGTAGTTCAAAGTAATTTATATTACCGTTCATAGAGGCCTATAAAATTGTCTTCAGCCACTCTCAATTGACATAAGACGACTTGATAGACCTAGGACTACCGTCCCCACACAAAACTGCTACAAAGCATTCATTGGTAGGCTGGTAAAGGCCTAGACCGATATATTAATTTGCTGTTATCGATACAAAATCAAACTAAAATGCAAAATTCTCATGAATTTTTGCCATGCTTTGTTGATAAACATCACTCAGAAAATGCATCGACGCGAAAAGAGAAAGTTAGCAAACCCACAACTGGCCGGCAGTGGGTTTGATGTATTTAACAACAGGATCATTACGTCACAGTTTCAACCCGAACCCGTTCCATTGCACTTCTTCTATAGGCGATTACTCTTGCTAGTTCTAATCTTACATATAATACATATAAGCTTTGGTATGGTAGATCTTTATAAACATATACAGTATTGGACAATCACTCTATATCTACAAGTATCTATACCCAATAATATAAGGAACTAAATTATAATACATTATTATGACTAACTTAGAAGGCCGAATACCAACCAGTTTAAAATGGAGTAGGCCTATTTCAGACCATTTACATCCAACTCACGTTATATTTTTATGCACGTTAAAAAGCACACCATGCTCAAGTACAATCTTAATATTGTCTAGATATTTTAAGGCACAACTTATAACACAAACAAAATTAGACTTTAAACAAAACGATTAAAATATGTCAATTGCATGCAGTATAAATTCATCAATAATTGTTGTTATGAATAATATCATAAAACGAACCCGTTGATGGTAATTAACATCTAAAATTGGGTACGAATTGATTTGGACTGAACACTTTTTGTGCGCTTATTTAAAAATTTTGTTAAATACCCGAGATACCATCTCCGATATCAACCGTTTGGATCCTAACTAAAATGAACATATATTTTCTTCAATCTCCCACAAAGCTAATACATTACGAATTCTAGAATCTTCTAAAATGCAGCCGAATTATTTAACTTTGAATTAATTTACGATATCTTGTTTTATTTCCAAATACGATATTGGCATATAATTTACGAAGATATTCGTGCTCGACGATCGTGTTGAACCACCGCATGCTCATTCGTTTTCACCATTCGGAAACATTGAGTCTTTACGCCGAAACAATTTTAACGTTTTTACAACACTGATTTTAATAAATCATTATAAATAAACACACTAACGGCAACAAACACGCTAATTTTTTTTTGGAAGAGATGTTTCGTTCAACCTGAGATTACTGCAGTTGCAGCTACTTGAAAACGCATTACATTACCCACTAATTTTCACGAACATAAAATACAAGTAAAAACTGTTTGATGAAATACAACACAGCTGCATTATGTTTGCTTTAAACCGATCTAACGGCATTTGAATAATTGATAGCAAGCGGGAATTATCTATCAAATTATCGCCCATTTCAAGTAGGGCCTATGCTGAAACCATTTCCTAAAGAAAATCATATGTTACACGTTACCGATAATAATTATATTTGAGCTAATACGCGAAACACGATCTTATTGCATGTAATGATGCATTTCTTCGTTCATTCTGCATTATAAACCAATAAACTGTTCCTTTGCAAACCCGTTCCCTTCGCTCCGCTTCGTTTTCCATCATCGTTGGCTCCTTCAACTTCTTTTGGTCTATAGAGTAACACTTTGTATATCTCCGACAGTAATCACAGCCTAGAAAAACATTAAAATTTGATATAAAAACGTAAGTAAATGTATACAAATTTGTACACATGATTACTCATCAACTCCAGGAAAAAAAAAATTTTATGTTCGCTGTCTTTAATTATCAATTCTTTAATTATATCTTAAAACTTTCCGTAAAGTGTTCTTCACACTAGCACCATGTATCTGTACAAGAGCAATGTAACACCAGCGCACAATACCAATTTGCGGGAATAGTTATATAGGAAAAGGAAATATATATCAATATCAAGGTTAGCCACAATACAACAATTTGTAAACGACATCAATACTACAAAGATGTTTATCAGAACCACTTAACAACAACGACAGCAGGTTTGGCCACGACATCACATTTTGTGACATTTAGACCTACGACACATACAAAGCAACACTAACTGCTGACGATAAACATAGATTACGAATTTTAGTTCAAAACAATAAGTAACCTATCTTAACTCAACACAATGTATTAAAGAATTTATGTTGATCATTTGAATATTTTTAGTATAAATTACTGTAAAGTACCGTACATACTTTATTCGGACTTTTTACGTTCTTCAATTGTGTCAACAATTGGAGAAGTGTAACAGTGGTAATTAAAGGTCCTAATAGAATATTATATTTCCAGATGTTAATCATAGTGTATCTATATCTAATCACCTCATCTACTGTGGCCTAACTTTCACCACTGACATTTATCTTACTAACTGGAAACGACGTCAAATCAACAGATGGACTGGCTTCATCAGAATGACCAACAGCACCACACTGAGGTAGATTAGCAACATTTGCACTGAGATGTGCACATATTGGATGCAATATCACTCCAATAATTCGCTCAACATGACGGCACATGGTTGTATCAAAATACAGGTGAGATAGTTCGTATCGGGTGGCGAGTTTGCTGACAATGTTCGATATCGTACAAAGCAGGTGCTGACAGGCCAATCAGGGTGTTCGAACGCGTTACCGATGATATCAACTTGTCAGTTATAAAGTATTTATTGTCGCCAAAATAAAAATAAAAGCACGAAATTCTCTAATTTACGCCTAATCAGGATCCAGGAAATATCAATTAATTTCAGTGATGATACAAATGAATACTGTACTTTTAAATCTCACGGACCTGATTTCAATACTTAACACATGCATAGCAATGCTTTCACAGGGATCAGTTACTCCAATATTTTTCCACCATACGCCCAATCACTACATCGTTTTTACTCTAGCATTCTTCAGCAATTGAGATGTAGGCCCTAAAAAAATCAGTCTTTGCACAGAAGAACTATTTATTGAAGATTACTTTCTTAAGTATCTTGTATTCGTTTTTGATGTCAAAGTTTGTCAAATAATAGATTGGATTGAACTAAATATAGACTTGTTCAAAGACTTTTGACAGGCTATAAACATATTTTGAAATGATATTATTTTGTCTATAAGTACTTATGTTTCCTTACATAGACCTAAACATTATATATCAGCTTCTTCAATTATGAACTGATTCAAGAAGGAAGTAATGTGCTCCTATGTGCATCATTGAATCTGGCAAAATTAAACATGTTAATTAGGAATACGACAGTTTCCTTGATCGGCTTTACTTGGCTCATCAAATAAATATACTACTTGCTATAATAAGACATAACGAATGCTACAAAATGCCACAGGATTTCAACTAATTCGATGTTTCCTAATGATAAATTCCTCTACAGAATATATCCTATATTCTAGACGATTTGGCTCGAAATTAAACGGATTCGATTAATAAGCAAGACATCAAGTCAAACGTTATGCAAACAAAATAAGAGGATTAAATAGACAATCAACGACTTCATTTCAAGTATACAGTGTACTGTATATATCGGTATGCCACAGATCAAGACAAAATACTACAAGTAAAAACGCAGAAATATTTTTTAATGTTTATTAAAATTGACTACTTGGCTTAACATAGGCACATTAACCTAAGTAGATACAATGATCGAATCAAATATTTTGACTAGCAATACAAGAATAATTTACTTGTACGTGTGAACACAGCTAGAATTTCTGGGTCCGATCTTATAAGAAAAAAAACCCCCTTGAATAAACACACTAACAGGATACATCGCGGGGAAGAGAGGTAGCAGTAGACCTAGGCTAAATTTCATGAGGAGGTCAAGCTGTTGAACATCAGAGAGTTTGAGATTTTTGTAGCGACCAGAGTCTGAGAATTGTGATCGCCAACGTTCTATGACACGGTACTCAATCAAGATGTGTAGAATTTTTGTTGTTCATTAACTGTCAGGTGATAAGACATCAGTCAAGTACAAATGCTAAAGTTGTCTGAAGAGACCGGGGGAACTTTTGCAGGAAGCATTTAATCGAATAACGATTATAATTATTAGAGCATTAATAAAATTGAGCTGTTGACGAATAATTCAAATCCATTTTATTTGGCAATTTGTCCGGAGCTAAGAATTGACCAGATGACCAGACCCACAGGGCAGGATGATTACTTGACCTATCATTAATATGTCGTTTGACACGCCACTCCGGTCTTTACAAGTGCAGCTATTATTTCTCTGATTTGTATAAATATTCCCGAGAGGAGGTGAAGTTTGCAGGCAAAATGAAATGGCCTTTCATACCATGACCACACAGTGGCCACTAGGGAGGGCAACATTTGTCCACCTGTATGCCCTGCGGTTCTTTAACAGATGACCATCTTGTCATTGTATTTCGACACTATTTGACCCATACCAGCAATGTTAAGAATCTGCACGAAGCACGTTTTAAGACCGGATCAATTGTGCAAGTCAACAATATCTAAATTTAATATCAGATAACAATTCACCTTCCTGATCTATATGTAGATATGAATCCGATACGGTAACATTGATCGGGGCAAGGTATATCAACACATCTGTGGACTGAATGCCATTGATAACTTTACTACAATAAACTAAACTAAATTAGGTGTCTTGTGTAGGCTTAGTAAATTAAAACCTTTATAAGGGTCGATCATTTGGGTAGAGGTGTGCGGTCTTTCACAATTTAAAAGGCCCATTTCCTGCTACTATACAAGTTGTTCCAACCATTTCATCATCGTAGCCATTGCATGGTTTCCCATAAGTTAACACCACAGATCCCTTTGGTTACCACATTTTCGTTAAAAGTGTTTCTATCATTTTTTTAGGTACAATCATGGCTTAAAAAAGATTTTTAATACACTATATTCCACATTCATGTTTAAATGATTTTCAGGATTCTTTTTGCTATTTTTAGGGGACAATACATATTTAATACCAATGGACGTCAGAAAGGATATCGTTATTCGATTTTTAAGGTTACACTATCGACTTCAAAGCAAATTAAAAAATGTTCTGTAAGATTTCGTTGTTGTTTTGAAAATGATCCCAGATTCGCTTTGTTTATTGGAGGAAATTGCAACCCAAGGATGATAGAATTTAGGTAGTCTGGCCAAGTCACAATTCGTGATTGGAATTGAGGTAGCTTGGCCAAGTCTCAATTCGTGACTGTGGCAGCAGAGGCAGTAATTCAAGGTTCAGTGGAGCTGTAGCTTCATGGTCAAATGCTTATCCTTCAACCCACAGACCTGGGTTCAAATCCAGTTAAGGCCAGGTTTTTTTCTCAAGGTTAAAACAACTCAACTCTCCGAGTCCCATATTGTGATTTAGTTCATAGAGCATCACAGAGTTGATGTCATCCTGCAAGTGGAAAGTAACGTGCTGTTGATATGCTATTGATAATGACACTACAGTACATAAAGCAAGATAAAAATATGTAAAACTTGTGACTACATGTGTTCCATTCGTTAAATACAAGCAAATAAAAAAAGAGAAAAACACGCTATGTTAATAATGGAACACTTTCACATTACGAGGAATAACAGCAAGAGTTTGGTTCGGAATAAAAAAAAGTTTGTGTTGCTACTTGAGTTAAATTGTAGCTGACGGTTTCCTTTGCTACGTCTTGTAACCCAGGTCACAAGGGTACATCAATGCTTATTCAGTTGCCGTATGAAGTGCAACATATATTATGTGTACGACAATCACCAATAAGCGTTGACCAACTTTTTTGTCTCAAAATATTGTAAATTATATCCAGCCACCACTTCGGGAATTAATTGAAGTTTGCTGCAACTACTCGTTTGGGGTACTGGTACGTGACAGGGAGCAATTCTATTGACTTTGATTTTTTTTTATTGATATTTTAATACGGTAAACGTTCATGAAGTCGTTGACTGAAGTAATTACCACACTATGTAACGGATACTCAGAACGAAAATATGCTTTTAAATATTTAAAATTCCTATCCTCACCTCGGAAATTCGGCATTCCAAATGAGATGAGATAATAATATGGGAAGTTGTTTGTGTTGGCGGCGTAAATTAAACGACTGAAAATGCCTATCATAATGGCATTTCTTTGACGAAATAAATGACCAATAATGGCCAATAATGTTGTGGACATGTTTCAGGTTGATGGCCACAGTTTACTGCGTTATCTAATTAGGGCAATATTTCAGTTGATACGTTGCTACAATGAGTGGGGTAGGCCAGACATCACAACAGGTGTTCAATGCATATCGTGATGAAATAATAACCCTTAGAACTTCAATTCTAAAATTAAAATAAACATGATGTGGCGACAATAAAATATGCTAAAAGTTATCAAGAACAAATTAGATTTAGACACTAAATATGGCAAGTGTTACTGATTGTATACCATTCTAATTAGATGTCTGATAAATGTCAAAAATATATTAAGAGGTTAAAACATTTCCTGCTTGTCTAAACGGAAGTAAACTAGGGCAAACGCTTATCGATTTTACAACATTGATTTTTTAGCTTGGCACATGATAGGCCAATCTAAGTAAATGTTTCATTTTCGACCGCAAAAAGTTAAAAATTTCAGAGGTTAGACACAATACCAAAAACGATGCACTCGTTGGGAATGCACAAATCTTTTAGCGATGACAGTTCTATT